ATATATATATATATATATATATATTTACACTCGACTTAATTAAACTGAATCCATATATTTCAGATTATGTAATTTTTCCAGATCATGTGAATCCTATTCTTCCCCAACATGCCTGTAGGTCCTCTCCATCCTTCCAAAGGGAGGTCACTGTAGAAATAGGAATGGCATTATAGCCAGGATAGACAAAGTATGCAGAAGAGCTGCAACTTTACTCTCCATTATGAAGGTCCTGGTCTTCCTAGACAGGCTGACCTGCAAGTAGGCCTGGGGTGTGGGGTTGGGGTTCCAAAATGAAAGCACCTTGCCTTCAGAGATCAAATGCTGCTTAAGGATGGGCAGTCAGAAACAGGCTTGGACACAAAAATGTAACAGGACTGAAGCAAAAAGAGTCTAGCCCAATGTAGAAAATGCAAAATAACAGCCATTTTCGGCTGTTGACTTTTTCTCTTTGCATGAAGGCTTTATTAACCTGTAGCAGACAGGTAAGGTGGCTCACAAATGGACTAAAAGTTGGCATGCTCTTCCCTGCATACACAGAGGAATTGATTAAGCTTCAGTGACTCTAATTAACTCAACTTCTTTCCTGCCTAGTTCTCCTGTAATTGAGAGCCTAAGTTGTGACTATACTGTAATACTTTGCAATGTACAAGTAAATGTTCTGCAGAACATTTAGGAAAAGTAATTAAATCTCAGTAATGAGACCGTAACTCAAAGTGCTTTGCCCTTAAATCTATGCTAATGAAGGGAGAGAAACTGGCTTGTGTGCTTGTGGGTTTCTTCTCAAGTGACTGCCCATATATATATGTGCATTCACACTTCCCATGGCTGTGGACCTCAGGCAGTGAAGACTGGGGACTTTTGCACTGTGTTCAAAAAGTGAATTCATGTGCTGCTCCCCTGCCCATACGTGGTGCCCACTTATCTGACCTAGTGTTTTCTGCTCATTGTCCTCTCCCAGCTGCCCAGCTGAGAAATCAGCACCTTGCTGTTTCCTCACTTCTTGTGCAACTTTAATCTTTGTTTTCTATTTCCTTTTGTCTCCTGTATTTTTCTTAGTTCATTAGTTTTTCTCATTTATTTTCTCCTTTCCATGTGCCTTGGGGTGTGTAGAAGCTACCTCCACACTCTGTACCCAAGGCTCGTCTTCAGGGAAAATTTCTTTCCTGGAACTCAGTGATTCCAGACTCCCCCTGTGCAGAACCCAGGCTGCGCATTTTTCAACATATGCTCTTCCTTTTAGGTTTTTATGTTGCTGTGGTGAGGTTGAACTTTTTGGGCAGAGGCAAAACCTGTACACCTTTTAAGGGTGAAGTATAGAGAGATGTAGTTTCATTTTCAGATTTCAATTCTAGAAAGGGAGAGTCGGGCCAGCATTAAATTCAGGAGATACATTCAGCCTGCGCACAAGTGTTTATATCTGATTTGCTTGGATTGCCTGCTACTGTCTTAGCCTCTGAAAAGGTTTCAGATCTTACCTCTCGAGGTTATGCCAAGACTTACAAGACTGTGATGGTTTCCTTAATAAAGCTATACTCATCTTCTTTGGTCATGCTCACCCACACAAGACCTTACATGGGTACACTCATCTACAAGAAGGGCCAGAAGGATGATCAAGGGAACCACAGGCCTGTCATTCTGACCTTGGTGCCAGGGAAGGTTACGGAGCAGATCATTTTAAGAGCACATACAGGAATACCAGACGATTAGACCCAGTCAGCATGGGATTATGAAAGGCAGGTCCTGTTTGAACAACCTGATCTCCTATGACAAGGTGACATGCTTAGTAGAGGAGCGAAAGGCTGTGATGTTACTGATACCTAGACTTCAGTAAAGCCTTTGACATCGTTACCCACAGCATTCTACTACAGAAACTGGTTGCCCATAGCTTAGACAGGCATACTCTTTGCTGGATAAAAAAATGGCTGAATCGATGAGCCCAAAGAGTTGTGGTGAATGGAGTTAAATCCGGTTGGTGGCCGATCACAAGTGGTGTTCCCCAGGGCTCAGTGTTGGGGCCAGTTCTGTTTAA